ACTTTTACTAATGCTGTTGGCAACATAATGTCATCATGACACACTGAAACATGTGTTTCCACATTGGAAGCTTGAACTATCGAACTAGATGAACAAGGCATTTCATCAACAGTATTGTCAGTGGTAACAAGAGTATTTGTTTGACGCCCATTTGCTGAACGGACAGGTGCTTGGTTATCCCTTGTTACATTTCTTGGTTGTATAGATCTCTCCTGCCCATTACTTTGTAGGTGCAATTTAGTATGATGTTTCTTTTTGCAAAACATACACCTATGCACACTCACGCATTCCTGCGAAATATGTCCACTTGTTAGACAATTATTACACAACCTCTTTTCTCTTGCGAACTCTATTCTCTGATTAACAGTCATATTATTAAATCTCATACAATTTTTCAAAATATAGTTCTTATAACACATGACACATCTGTTTGATTGTGTCAAATGAGCATTTTGATGCGATATATGATCATTGCTAAATGAAGTTGAAGCTGTTTGACTTCTGAGACCATCTATTCGCTCTAGAACCCGATGTCTGTTCTTAAGAAAATCTTCCATTTGCGACCATTTGGGTAGCTCTGAATGTGATTCGAGCGATTGTTCCCATAGGGTCAGTGTATCAACCGGAAGCTTAGTTGAACATAAATATATTAAAATTGGATCCCATTGATCCACCTTTACACTATGAGCTCTCAATATAGCCAAGCAGTCACTAACTGTCGATTGAATTCTTTTAATATCTTTGCTAGATTCAACCGTTGCTGCAGAAAGATTGAATAATATCTTCAGTTGGTTATCAACTAGTACCCTAACATTTTCGTATCGCACCGATAATGCTTCCCATGCTAACGAAAAATTTTGATCAGATAAAGGGTACCGATCTACAATTCTACCAGCCTCACCTTTAGTTTTATTACGCAAATGATAAAGCTTTTGCGCTGGTGTGAGTCTGGGATGATTTCCATAAATAGCCGTAAACATATCTCTAAATGTTGGCCATTCTTCATAACTTCCATAGAAGTCTTGAGTGTCACAAGGTGGCACTTTAATACAAATCTCAGACATGTCAAACGTTGTACCCGGAGGATAAACAGCTGAGCTGTGAAACAACGATGGATTTGTAACTTCGCCTCTAGCGTTATTACTTTGGCTCTGCGCCTTTCGATTTTTTAATATTTCCAATAATGTAGCTTTAGTCACTTGGTAATTATCTCTGACTGACTCATAATATTTTTTTATCTTTATTTTATATTGTTTATCTTCCTCATCTTCTGTACCCGCAAAAAATACACTCTCAAACGCACTACGTAAATTTTGCCAATCTTCATCAAGCGATTCTAATTTTGTTTCTATTAAAGAATCGCTTAAATCCTTTTCTGGCATATTTCTCAATTTTTTGCATTCTTCCAAAAGGTTGTCAGCTTCATACTCGAACTTAGCACAACTTACTGACTCCATTTTTGATTATTTTATTGTTATCTTTTTTTTCAAAATGTTATCTAATTTTTTTTTTTTTATTTATGAATTTTATTAATTTATGAGTATCTATTTTTAAACGTTTTATGGTAGTTATATCGTATTTGCTTATACTTGTTGTTATTTATATTACACTTTCAAACTTTAACGTTCAATTTATTTACTAAATAATAAATAAATGAAGTTATTCCACATAGATTTCAAAATGTTTGAAGTATAATTATATTCGTTTCTCAATAAATATTTAATATATAAAAATTTATTGAAAATTTATTAATATGTTTTAAATTTAGTTTTTAATTAAATATATATATTTTTTTATTTTTTAATTTATTATTTTTATTGTATTTATTCTTGTATTTTATTGTTATTATTAGTTTTATTTCTATTCAATATCAATTTATGATACGTTCAGTACTTGTGCTACGTTAAGATACGTTTACGACAACCTTTCGTTACGTTTCACTAACTTGCTCACTTTCCTGAACACTTCCTAAAATAATCGATGGTCAGTATGACAGCTGACAGATCGATGTAAACAACAAGGAACAGGTGATAATTACTTGTTCGATGTTGTAAAATGGCAGATGATCAAAACGACGAGCAAATGCCAAAATGATGGAAAAAACAAGTTAAAAAGCAGTAAGTTCGGCCGGGCCGAAGTTTTAATACCCTCCACCATTTACAACGAATTTGGAAATTTTCAAAAAATAAAATCCTTAACAAATTCTGTTAAAATTTTAAAAATACCGAATATAGCCGTTATATTGGGGTCTATACGACGTGGACATACATATGCATTGTTTGTCATAAGCCATTACCATATTCAAATTCGAAACTGGACCCGCACCGACAATTTTCTGTCACAGACTGTAGTTCCCATAACGAACTTCAAATACCAAATTTTAAACAATTCCGGTTAATAATGTCGCTAAAATCATCAAAATACCGAATATAGCGAGGTGCCGTTATATGGGGGCTATACGAAGACGTGGACCTGCACAAACAATTTTCTGTCTTAGGGTGTAGTATCCATTTGGAACTTCAAATACCAAATTTGAAACAATTCCAGTGAATAATGTCGCTAAAATCATCAAAATACCGAATATAGGGAGGTACCGTTATATTGGGGCTATACGAAGACGTGGACCTGCAAAGACAATTTTCTGTCTTAGGGTGTAGTATCCATTTGGAACTTCAAATACCAGATTAGAAACAATTCCCGTGAAAAATGTCGCTAAAATCATCAAAATACCGAATATCGGGAGGTACCGTTATATGGGGGCTATACGAAGACATAGACTTGCACAGACAATTTTCTATCTTAGGGTGTAGTATCCATTTGGAACTTCAAATACCAATTTTGAAACAATTCCGGTGAATAACGTCGCTAAAATCATCAAAATACCGAATATCCGGAGGTACCGTTATATGGGAGCTATATGAAAACGTGGACCTACATGGCCCATTTACGAACTTAACCTGCCTACTGGAAAAATAAACATGTGTGCAAAATTTTAGTCATCTATCTCAATTTATTCGAAAGATAGCGTGATTACAACAGACAGACAGACGGACGGACTTCGCTAAATCGACTTAGAATTTTACGCTGATCAAGAATATATATACTTTGTTGGGTCTGACATGAGTATTTCGAGGAGTTACAAACGGAATGACAAAGTTAATATACCCTCCATAGTATGGTGGAGGGTATAATAAATGCAGTGAGAGTGATCTTTATAAATGTGTTAGTGTATATGTGTTATTTTAAAGCGTGTTAAATGTAATAAGAACACCGCTTTCAATGTATTTCACAAATTACTTCAATTTGTTGTATGTATTAGTGACAACAAACAACACAAAAGCCGCCACTTTCAAATGCAAATTACAAAACAACAACACTTCTCACTACTTTACAATTAATTTTAAATTATTATTTTTTTTTTTGTGATTTTGTTGGCAAATCAGCCGATTCTTATTTTTTGGACTCGAAGGACCATGTACAAGTTCCGATACGGTCGAAAGGACTTGTAGGGATTCTAATTCTACTGAGTAGATTTAGAATCGAAGATTATTGTTGAACAGGACGGACAACAATATAAATTTGCAAACTACAACAACACAACAAGTATTCTGACGATACTTACGTTTGTTGTCTGCAAATAAAAACACAAAAAATAAACTTTCAAATTCAAACGTTTGACGCTGGCGGTCAATTTATTTGTAATTAATTTATTATTTGTTATTGATCTGGCGATCGACACTATGGGTTTTAAAAACTTCAAGAAGAAGAGTGGTTTTTTTATTGTTGGTGGTGATGGGACCTCATCGATTAATTATTTATCCAGGTCGATGAGGTCCATTTCGATATCATCATCCAAGGGGTTGGGAAGATTCCCAACATCTACTAAAAATAAAAAAGGTTTGTTATATTTCTTTCTATAAATCTAAAAGTTTCATTTGATTTGCAAAAAGTTTCATTTCGGTTACAAACGGTTTCACATAAAATGCAAAAGGTTTCATTTCCGTTGCAAAAGGTAATGAAACCTTTTGCAAATCAAATGAAACAATTATATTTATAGAAAGAAACATAACAATACATTTCTATTTTTAGTAGGTATTAAATTAAATCAACTAATCATTAATAATATATAGTTAAAGAGGAATTGTTATAGATTATTAACATCTATATTTTCGTAATATTATTTCTTAAATTTTCAATTAATGTAATAGTAAATTGCTCTTTATTGATTTGATATAAAATATTTCTATATTAATATGCCAAATACTTAACACCAAAAAGTGAAATTAAAACAAAATTTTGGCCTTTATTACTATAAATTGTGGGAGCAGGACTGAAGTACGAAATGAAGATTTACTATAATGTTCAAAAGTTAAAGTACCACCATGGGAAGGGGGCATATTTAATGTGTCATTTCGTATGTAACACCTCTAAGTATTCGTCGTAGACCCCATAAAGTATATCCAACCATGATCAAAGTTGATTCAATGATGAAAAAGTTTCAATTCGGTCGCAAAAGGTTTCACTTCAAATGCAAATAATTTCATTTCCACTGCACAATGTTTCATTTCAATTGCAAAATTTTTCATTTCATTGAAATGAAACTTTTTGCAACAGAAATGAATTCTTTTGCAGTGGAAATGAAAATAAAGCCTATTTAATTTCAAACTTAATTTTCATTGAATTGCGTTATTACATATTTGTCACACGGGTGAATATTCTCCTCCTTAGGTAATGTCTACTACCTCTTAATACGACTTTGTACTTCGTACATAATGTCACAGGTAATGACATTTCCTAAGGATTGACGTCTTGTAATTATCGCCATTACAGTATTCTACCGACTGTACTAGTACTAACATGCATAGGATTACGTCCTACTGCCAAAAACCCTTTGAACAGTCCACTGCTCAGGGGGGAAAATATTACTTGATTGTGTTTTTATTTTTTTTTCCATTTCTTTTATTTTCTTTTTGCTCCCCAAACATTGGTCCTTCGCGCAGGATTTTGCTATCTGTCTTCTTCCTTCACGAGGAAAAACAATAGAGAAACGACTGTTTCACAACAAAACTTTGGATTCTACGACCCGTCTCTTTGCTCACTGAGGATACAACGACAACGTCGTCAACATCAACGGGATTATCGATCACCACCATCACATCTAATTATTTATTTTACATTTTAATTAGCCGCGACAACAGAGGTATGTATACTGTGAATTACGTTTAAAGTGACATACAAAACATAGTTATTGTTGTGTTAATAAAACAAAACAAAGCCTTGGGTCGTTTTCAACAAGTTTTTTTGTCCGTCTGTCTCCTATGTAAACCTTTTGCAAATCAAATGAAACAATTTTATTTATAAAAAGACACATAACAATACATTTCTATTTTTAGTAGGTATTAAATTAAATCAACTAATCATTAATAATATATAGTTAAAGAGGAATTGTTATAGATTATTAACATCCATATTTTCGTAATATTCTTTCTTAAATTTTCAATTAATGTAATAGTAAATTGCTCTTTATTGATTTGATATAAAATATTTCTATATTAATATGCCAAATATTTAACACCAAAAAGTGAAATTGGAACAAATTTTGGCCTTTATTAATATAAATTGTGGGGGAAGTACGAAATGAAGATTTACTATAATGTTCAATAGTTAAAGTACCACCATGGAAATGGTATATCCAACCATGATCAAAGTTGATTCAATGATGTCACAATATCCATCTCAATATTGTGACATCATTGAATTGACGGGACGTTTCAACAAGGCATTAAATTGTGCACGTGATAAAGCCATTCAATAGCCTACAAAACTAGACTGCTCTATCTCTATAATGGATCTGCTGTTAAAAATTAAACAAGCTGCAAAGCGTTAATCCTTTAGGTAAGATTAATAGTTTTGTTATGTTCCATCTATAAAAATAAAAGTTTCATTTGATTTGAAGAAGTTTCACTTCGGTCGCAAAAGTTTTCACTTCAAATGCAAATAGTTTCATTTCCACTGCAAAATGTTTCATTTCAATTGCAAAAATTTTCATTTCATTGAAATAAAAACTTTTTGCAACAGAAATGAATTCTTTTGCAGTGGAAATGAAAATAAAGCCTGTTTAATTTCAAACTTAATTTTCATTGAATTGTGTTATTACATATTTGTCACACGGGTGAATTTTTTCCTCCTTAGGTAATGTCTACTACCTCTTAATACGACATTGTACTTCGTACATAATGTCACAGGTAATGACATTTCCTAAGGATTGACGTCTTGTAATTATCGCCATTACAGTATTCTACCGACTGTACTAGTACTAACATACATAGGATTACGTCCTACTGCCAAAAACCCTTTGAACAGTCCACTGCTCAGAGGGAAAAATATTACTTGATTGTGTTTTTATTTTTTTCCATTTCTTTAATTTTCTTTTTGCTCCGCAAACATTGGTCCTTCGAGCAGGATTTTGCGATCTGTCTTCTTCCTTCACGAGGAAAAACAATAGAGAAACGACTGTTTCACAACAAAACTTTGGATTCTACGACACGTCTCTTTGCTCACTGAGAATACAACGACAACGTCGTCAACAACAACGGGATTATCGATCGCCACCATCACATCTAATTAATTATTTTACATTTTAATTAGCCGCGACAACAGAGGTATGTATACTGTGAATTACGTTTAAAGTGACATACAAAACATAGTTATTGTTGTGTTAATAAAACAAAACAAAGCCTTGGGTCGTTTTCAACAAGTTTTTTTGTCCGTCCGTCTCCTATATAAACCTTTTGCAAATCAAATGAAACAATTTTATTTATAAAAAGACACATAACAATACATTTCTATTTTAGTAGGTATTAAATTAAATCAACTAATCATTAATAATATATAGTTAAAGAGGAATTGTTATAGATTATTAACATCCATATTTTCGTAATATTTTTTCTTAAATTTTCAATTAATGTAATAGTAAATTTCTCTTTATTTATTCTCTTTATATTTCTCTTTATATTTTTTTCCATTTCTTTTATTTTCTTTTTGCTCCGCAAACATTGGTCCTTCGAGCCGGATTTTGCGATCTGTCATCTTCCTTCACGAGAAAAAAAAACAATAGATGAACGACTGTTTCACAGCAAAACTTTGGATTCTACGATCCGTCTCTTTGCTCACTGAGGATACAACGACAACGTCGTCAACAACAACGGGATTATCGATCACCACCATCACATCTAATTAATTATTTTACATTTTAATTAGCCGCCACAACAGAGGTATGTATACTGTGAATTACGTTTAAAGTGACATACAAAACATAGTTATTGTTGTGTTAATAAAACAAAACAAAGCCTTGGGTCGTTTTCAACAAGTGTTTATTCCGTCCGTCTCCTATGGGATTGCCGTCGGCATTTATCGCAACAACAAAATAGTGTCAAAGTGATTTTTGTTTCCAACAAAATACACTCACGACCACAATCACAGAATTGCATACTTTCTCATTGCCTATTTATATTTTCTCGTTGCGCTTTTTGTGTTTTACATCTTCATGTAAGTAGTAAAACATAATAACAATAACAGAAAAGAATATTTGTTGTCATCGCCGCTGATTGTTGGTTCCGCTTTGTATACATATTCGTGTAAATTACAATAGTGACACTCACTGTTAAATGATAGACAATCACATACAATAGGTGTGTTCACGACCATTTATCAAAATTTTATTTATTGAAAAATTGAAAGTGCCAACTTCAATTAAATTTTTTGTTGTTTCTATTGGATATCAACTACTGTTAATGAATTTCGCAGTCTCCGACGTTATCACCCTACATTCGGTATACACATACATATATGTGCGTGGTAATATTTTATTAAATAACGTTTAATACTAATATTGCTATTTATTTCTGCGAACTCTTTCTAGAAAACTGTTTTGTTTCTTGTTTCTTGTTTTACGCTGAACGACTTACGATTTGTGCACCCTACAATCGGCTTTATTGATTTATCATATTTTTGGGTTTTTCGACTCTATTACAATTGTTGTTTGAAAAATTTTGTCGGCAAGTGTTACTTACGATACATTGTACATAACTTTCAGAAAGTTTGAACAATTTCTTCATTTATATTTTTTTCTTGTGGTTTAATCACGTTTAATCTCAACTGACACTGCGAGGAGTCCATGACTATCTGCAATCAGTGTATTTTCATTAAATAAACATTGATTTCATTGACATTACGTGTCTTATTAAAAATATTTCAAGCATTTTCGTGCAAATTTCATTACAATTTCACTAATTTCTTATTTCATTTTCGGGGCAGTTCTAAATTCTTCGACTGCATTTGTTTTCCAAACAAGGCATTACGTGTCATAAAAAACATTATTAACTTGTTTTGCTTCCGATTTGCATTTAAAATGCCACTCACTCCTTTGGATTTATTCATCCGAGCTACTAAAAATGTTCTAGCGTCCATTAATAGAAAGTTAGGTGTGCTACGGGCTCCGCCTAAGTCACGAACTGTAATTTCACCAAAATCTCATATAGGTAACACTTCAATACCTCGTTCCGAGGAGAGAGCGACAGAATCGAATGTTCCGCAGCGATCCGAAACTTCTGTAAAACTTTATAGTAATGCTTAAATTTACATTTCAGTCCTGCCCATACAATTTAGTAATAAAGGCCAACATTTGTTTCAATTTCTCTTTTTAACGTTAAGTATTAAGAATATATAATATGGAAATATTTTATATCAAATCAATAAAGGGCAATTTGTAATTACAATAATTGAAAATTTCAGAAATAATAAAAACTATAGATTTTTATTATCAATAAAAATTCCTCATTAACTCTATATTAGTTATAATTACTTGATTTAATCTAGAACCTACTAAAAATAAAAAAGGTTTGTTATATTTCTTTCTATAAATCTAAAAGTTTCATTTGATTTGCAAAAAGTTTCATTTCGGTTACAAACGGTTTCACATAAAATGCAAAAGGTTTCATTTCCGTTGCAAAAGGTAATGAAACCTTTTGCAAATCAAATGAAACAATTATATTTATAGAAAGAAACATAACAATACATTTCTATTTTTAGTAGGTATTAAATTAAATCAACTAATCATTAATAATATATAGTTAAAGAGGAATTGTTATAGATTATTAACATCTATATTTTCGTAATATTATTTCTTAAATTTTCAATTAATGTAATAGTAAATTGCTCTTTATTGATTTGATATAAAATATTTCTATATTAATATGCCAAATACTTAACACCAAAAAGTGAAATTGAAAAAAATTTTGGCCTTTATTACTATAAATTGTGTGAGCAGGACTGAAGTACGAAATGAAGATTTACTATAATGTTCAATAGTTAAAGTACCACCCTGGAAAGGGGGCATTTCGTATGTAACACCTCTAAGTATTCGTCGTAGACCCCATAAAGTATATCCAACCATGATCAAAGTTGATTCAATGATGTCTAGCTGTCTGTCTATTGAAGTCACAATATTGAGATGGGACGGGACGTTTCAACAAGGCATTAAATTGTGCACGTGATAAAGCCATTCAATAGCCTACAAAACTAGACTGCTCTATCTCTATAATGGATCTGCTGTTAAAAATTAAACAAGCTGCAAAGCGTTAATCCTTTAGGTAAGATTAATAGGTTTGTTATGTTCCATCTATAAAAATAAAAGTTTCTATTGATTTACAAAAGTTTCACTTCGGTCGCAAATGGTTTCACTTCAAATGCAAATAGTTTCATTTCCACTGCAAAATGTTTCATTTCAATTGCAAAAATTTTCATTTCATTGAAATGAAACTATTTGCAACAGATATGAATTCTTTTGCAGTGGAAATGAAAATAAAGCCTGTTTGATTTCAAACTTAATTTTCATTGAATTGCGTTATTACATATTTGTAACACGGGTGAATTTTCTCCTTTTTGGTAATGTCTACTACCTCCTAATACGACTTTGTACTTCGTACATAATGTCAAAGGTAATGACATTTCCTAAGGTGTGACGTCTTGTAATATTCTACCGACTCTACTAGTACTAACATGCATAGGATTACGTCCTACTACCAAAAACCCTTTGAACAGTCCACTGCTCAGAGGGAAAAAATATTACATGATTGTGTTTTTATTTTTTTCCATTTCTTTTATTTTCTTTTTGCTCCGCAAACATTGGTCCTTCGAGCCGGATTTGCGATCTGTCTTCTTCCTTCACGAGGAAAAACAATAGAGAAACGACTGTTTCACAGCAAAACTTTGGATTCTACGATCCGTCTCTTTGCTCACTGAGGATACAACGACTACGTCGTCAACAACAACGGGATTATCGATCACCACCATCACATCTAATTAATTATTTTACATTTTAATTAGCCGCCACAACAGAGGTATGTATACTGTGAATTACGTTTAAACATAGTTATTGTTGTGTTAATAAAACAAAACAAAGCCTTGGGTCGTTTTCAACAGGTGTTTATGTCCGTCCGTCTCCTATGGGATTGCCGTCGGCATTTATCGCAACAACAAAATAGTGTCAAAGTGATTTTTGTTTCCAACAAAATACACTCACGACCACAATCACAGAATTGCATACTTTCTCATTGCCTATTTATATTTTTGGATAGTTCTTTATATTTCTAATTTCTTTTCTCGTTGCGCTTTTTGTGTTTTACATCTTCATGTAAGTAGTAAAACATAACAACAATAACAGAAAATAATATTTGTTGTCATCGCCGCTGATTGTTGGTTCCGCTTTGTATACATATTCGTGTAAATTACAATAGTGACACTCACTGTTAAATGATAGACAATCACATACAATAGGTGTGTTCACGACCATTTATTTAAAAATTGAAAGTGCCAACTTCAATTAAATTTTTTGTTGTTTCTATTGGATATCAACTACTGTTAATGAATTTCGCAGTCTCCGACATTATCACCCTACATTCGGTATACACATACATATATGTGCGTGGTAATATTTTATTAAATAACGTTTAATACAAATATTGCTATTTATTTCTGCGAACTCTTCCTAGAAAACTGTTTTGTTTCTTGTTTTACGCTGAACGACATACGATTTGTGCACCCTACAATCGGCTTTATTGATTTATCATATTTTTGGGTTTTTCGACTCTATTACAATTGTTGTTTGAAAATTTTTGTCGGCAAGTGTTACTTACGATACATTGCGACAAATTACGTGTATTTTACGATACATTGTACATAACTTTCAGAATTTTTTAAATACACTGTGAGAAAAGTTTGAACAATTTCTTCATTTATATTTTTTTCTTGTGGTTTAATCACGTTTAATCTCAACTGACACTGCGAGGAGTCCATGACTATCTGCAATCAGTGTATTTTCATTAAATAAACATTGATTTCATTGACATTACGTGTCTTATTAAAAATATTTCAAGCATTTTCGTGCAAATTTCATTACAATTTCACTAATTTCTTATTTCATTTTCCTCGACTGCATTTGTTTTCCAAACAAGACATTACGTGTCATAAAAAACATTATTAATTTGTTTTGCTTCCGATTTGCATTTAAAATGCCACTCACTCCTTTGGATTTATTCATCCGAGCTACTAAAAATGTTCTAGCGTCCATTAATAGAAAGTTAGGTGTGCTAAGGGCTCCGCCTAAGTCACGAACTGTAATTTCACCAAAATCTCATATAGGTAACACTTCAATACCTCGTTCCGAGGAGAGAGCGACAGAATCGAATGTTCCGCAGCGATCCGAAACTTCTGTAAAACTTTATAGTAATGCTTAAATTCACATTTCAGTCCTGCCCATACAATTTAGTAATAAAGGCCAACATTTGTTTCAATTTCTCTTCTTAACGTTAAGTATTAAGAATATATAATATGGAAATATTTTATATCAAATCAATAAAGGGCAATTTGTAATTACAATAATTGAAAATTTCAGAAATAATAAAAAATATAGATTTTTATTATCAATAAAAATTCCTCATAAACTCTGTATTAGTTATAATTACTTGATTTAATTTAGAACCTACTAAAAATAAAAAAGGTTTGTTATATTTCTTTCTATAAATCTAAAAGTTTCATTTGATTTGCAAAAAGTTTCATTTTGGTTACAAACGGTTTCACATAAAATGCAAAAGGTTTCATTTCCGTTGCAAAAGGTAATGAAACCTTTTGCAAATCAAATGAAACAATTATATTTATAGAAAGAAACATAACAATACATTTCTATTTTTAGTAGGTATTAAATTAAATCAACTAATCATTAATAATATATAGTTAAAGAGGAATTGTTATAAATTATATTTCGTAATATTATTTCTTAAATTTTTAATTAATGTAATAGTAAATTGCTCTTTATTGATTTTATATAAAATATTTCTATATTAATATGCCAAATACTTAACACCAAAAAGTGAAATTGAAACAAATTTTGGATTTTATTACTATAAATTGTGTGAGCAGGACTGAAGTACGAAATGAAGATTTACTATAATGTTTAATAGTTAAAGTACCACCATGGAAAGGGGGCATATTTAATGTGTCATTTCGTATGTAACACCTCTAAGTATTCGTCGTAGACCCCATAAAGTATATTGAAGTCACAATATTGAGATGGGACGGGACGTTTCAACAAGGCATTAAATTGTGCACGTGATAAAGCCATTCAATAGCCTACAAAACTAGACTGATCTATCTCTATAATGGATCTGCTGTTAAAAATTAAACAAGATGCAAAGCGTTAATCCTTTAGGTAAGATTAATAGTTTTGTTATGTTCCATCTATAAAAATAAAATTTTCATTTGATTTGAAAAAGTTTCATTTCGGTCGCAAATGGCTTCACTTCAAATGCAAATAGTTTCATTTCCACTGCAAAGTGTTTCATTTCAATTGCAAAAATTTTCATTTCATTGAAATGAAACTTTTTTCAACAGATATGAATTCTTTTGCAGTGGAAATAAAAATAAAGCCTGTTTAATTTCAAACTTAATTTTCATTGAATTGCGTTATTACATATTTGTCACACGGGTGAATTTTCTCCTCCTTAGGTAATGTCTACTACCTCTTAATACGACTTTGTACTACGTACATAATGTCAAAGGTAATGACATTTCCTAAGGAGTGACGTCTTGTAATTATCGTCATTACAGTATTCTAAAGACTCTACTAGTACTAACATGCATAGGATTTCGTCCTACTGCCAAAAACCCTTTGAACAGTCCACTGCTCAGGGGAAAAAATATTACTTGATTGTGTTTTTATTTTTTTCAATTTCTTTTATTTTCTTTTTGCTCCGCAAACATTGGTCCTTCGAGCCGGATTTTGCGATCTGCCTTCTTCCTTCACGAGGAAAAACAATAGATAAACGACTGTTTCACAGCAAAACTTTGGATTCTACGATCCGTCTCTTTGCTCACTGAGGATACAACGACAACGTCGTCAACAACAACGGGATTATCGATCACCACCATCACATCGAATTAATTATTTTACATTTTAATTAGCCGCCACAACAGAGGTATGTATACTGTGAATTACGTTTAAAGTGACATACAAAACATAGTTATTGTTGTGTTAATAAAACAAAACAAAGACTTGGGTCGTTTTCAACAAGTGTTTATGTCCGTCCGTCTCCTATGGGATTGCCGTCGGCATTTATCGCAACAACAAAATAGTGTCAAAGTGATTTTTGTTTCCAACAAAATACACTCACGACCACAATCACAGAATTGCATACTTTCTCATTGCCTATTTATATTTTGGGCATAGTTCTTTATATTTCTAATTTCTTTTCTCCTTGCGCTTTTTGTGTTTTACATCTTCATGTAAGTAGTAAAACATAACGACAATAACAGAAAAGAATATTTGTTGTCATCGCCGCTGATTGTTGGTTCCGCTTTGTATACATATTCGTGTAAATTACAATAGTGACACTCACTGTTAAATGATAGACAATCACATACAATAGGTGTGTTCACGACCATTTATCAAAATTTTATTTATTGAAAAATTGAAAGTGCCAACTTCAATTAAATTTTTTGTTGTTTCTATTGGATATCAACTATTGTTAATGAATTTCGCAGGCTCCGACATTATCACCCTACGTTCGGTATACACATACATATATGTGCGTGGTAATATTTTATTAAATAACGTTCAATACAAATATTGCTATTTATTTCTGCGAACTCTTTCTAGAAAACTGTTTTGTTTCTTGTTTTACGCTGAACGACTTACGATTTGTGCACCCTACAATCGGCTTTATTGATTTATCATACTTTTGGGTTTTTCGACTCTATTACCATTTTTGTTTAAATTGTTGTCGGCAAGTGTTATTTACGATGCATTGCGACAAATTACGTGTATTTTACGATACATTGTACATAATTTTCAGAATTTTTTAAAAACACTCTGTGAAAAGTTTGACAATTTCTTCATTTATATTTTTTTCTTGTGGTTTAATTACGTTTAATCTCAACTGACACTGCGAGGAGTCCATGACTATCTGCAATCAGTGTATTTTCATTAAATAAACATTGATTTCATTGACATTACGTGTCTTATTAAAAATATTTCAAGCATTTTCGTGCAAATTTCATTACAATTTCACTAATTTCTTATTTCATTTTCGGGGCAGTTCTAAATTCTTCGACTGCATTTGTTTTCCAAACAAGGCATTACGTGTCATAAAAAACATTATTAATTTGTTTTGCTTCCGATTTGCATTTAAAATGCCACTCACTTCTTTGGATTTATTCATCCGAGCTACTAAAAATGTTCTAGCGTCCATTAATAGAAAGTTAGGTGTGCTATGGGCTCCGCCTAAGTCACGAACTGTAATTTCACCAAAATCTCATATAGGTAACACTTCAATACCTCGTTCCGAGGAGACAGCGACCGAATTTTCCCAAAATTCATCTTTCACATCCTGTGGAAATTAAAATTCCGGTCACAAGTTAAATTTGCCATCATGTGACATTGAAGCATTCAATGACGATTTTCTTTCCTGGCCTATGTTCAGGGACTTATTTTCTGCCATATATATAAATAATAGCGGCATGAGCGATATCGAGCGGTTGTGCCATTTAAATAATAAAACTAGTGGTGATGCCCATGAAATTGTGTCTAAGTTTTCGCTTACACACAAAAACTTTAATATAGCATGGAGTCGAATTTTGGTGAACTACTAACTTAAGTTCCTCTTTGACATTCCAGCTTTAGACAATCAAACTAGTGCAGAGTTAAAGAAACTACAATGAAATATAAACGGGTGTATTTCATCCATGTCTTATTATGATGTGTCGACAAATGACTTGGATTTTATTCTAGTTTTCCTGTGTCTGCGTGATGCTTTGGGAACAAAGCATAAAGAACAAATCTACTTTGTTTTGTGGAAAGATTTGGATTACTTTCTTACAGAAAGGATCCAAACTCTGACCTGCATACGTAACATTAGGGGAATCGATTACGTCTAACCTCTAAACAATGATAAACATTCCGTTTCTACGAATGGTGCAACGAATACATCAAATTCCGTCACGGCCCGAAGTGTCCCTCATTTCTCAAGGTTACCTCGTACATTCTCGCGTAAATCACATGTGCTTTGTTCACGATAAAGTCATCATCTACGAGTTTGTCATAAATTCCTTAGACTTTCAGTTCCTGGAAGAATCAGCACAGTTAAGAAACACTTTTGTTGTCTTAATTGTTTGTATCACGGACATGAAACTTCAAAATGCAACAGCATTTACAAGCGCACTATATGCAATAAACGGCATCACACGCTGTTATACATTGAGGCCACGCCTCATTCGTCTCCGACGACTTCAAATGTTAGAAGTCCAGATCAGGTGATTCTACCTAGTACTTCTACCAATATTATATCAGGGTCTTCAAACCGACAGGTATTTCATACCACTCAGAGCAGAAAAATGTTGTTAGGCACAGCTATGGTGCATATTGTGCACAAAGGTACTATGTACCCAGCTAGAGTCTTAATAGATCCTGCTTCAGAAGTATATTTTCTTTCTGAACGTATACAATATTGGGAATAGGTGCGAATAACGTTCAAGCTTCAATCTCGGGGGTTAGTGGGTCCGTTTCACAAATTTCCCGTAAGCAATGTCCCATTCGTATCAGTTCTACATTGGATGCTACGCATACAATGGAAACTAATGCTCTGGTTCTGCCGACCATTTTCCACTAGACGTGACACCATTCCACAATTGCCAAATCTTCGTTTGGCCAACCCTGATCCCTTTTCTTCTTGTCCTGTTGACCTTCAAGTAGGTGCAGATCTTTATCCAAAGATTCTGCCACAGGGTACACGTACCAACGTATTAGGTGCATTGATAGCGCAGAGCACCGTCTTCGGCTGGATCATTACTGGTCCAATGTCAAACTCCCCTCTACAACCATTCTGTTTTGGGATTTTCCTCAGATTAGAGTAAAAGACTGGGTACTTTGAGTAACTTTTGCTCACATCTTTCCCTACGGACGCTTTTTCCATACATGATTAAGGTTTAGGTATAAGGTATATATTTTCCCACGGAAAATGCAAAGATTCCATCACCTACACTTCGTCCTCCTACTTGCTATGCAAATATTGGTCAACGACCATCTGTATAGACTACGTCTTTTTTTTTCATTTGTCACGCAAATTAATTCAATCCGCATAAACGATGGTTATACGGCCGTCTGTACTTAATTTTCAGAGAGGCATCCCATATTGTTCATCTCGTATCTTTTGAATGACAAATATTAAAGCAGATGCTACGCATCTATAATTATTTATATTGCTGGATCACCGAACCATAATTCACATAAATGTTGCCGAATGTGAGGAGCGGAATATAATACAGAAAGCGGCACATTCGTCCGACGGCGATTTCCAATCATATGTCACTCATACGGAGTTAGTTATAGTCGATGTTTCGCGTCGTCCAGGCGTTATCAGTGGTTTCGCAACGCATTGGACTCGACGAGTTCAACCCTTAACAGATCAGAACCTTGACGAGGCATTGTACAATCTTGCTCTACGAGCACATTCTTTCAGTTTTCATGATACAATCGGTTCCTTTTAGGCCATTGCACGATCGTGCTCTATGAGCTCGCATGAAAAATCGAAAACCACCTTTTTTATTTTGTCCATTATTTTCATGATACGATCAGTTCCTCCTCGAGGTATAGCACGATCGTGCTCCACGAGCTCACATGAAAATAACTAACATTAACGTAAAATTTGCAACATGGTGAATTGTTTCAAAGACCGGCGGAGTGTTTAATTTTTAACTTAATTTTCATTGAATTGCGTTAATATTACATATTTGTAACACGGGCTACTTTTCTCCTCCTTAGGTAATGTCTACTACCTCTTAATACGACTTTGTACTTTGTACATCATGTCAAAGGTAATGATATATCGTACGGAGTGACGTTTTGTAATTGCCGCCTTTACAGTATTTTACCGACTTTACGAGTACTAACAAGCATAGGATTACGTCCTACTGCCAAAAACCTTTTGTACAAAGGTAATATTGTTCCACGAACAACCACCCTATAAAAAATATACAGTCCACTGCTCAGTGGGAAAAAATATTAATAGACTGCGTTTTTATATTTTTCCTTTTATTTTCTTTTTGCTCCGCAAACCAAACCTTTTGCAGTGGAAATGAAAACTTTTGCAATAACAATTTGTTATTTCAATGAATGAAAAATTAAACAAGGATTGATTTGACAAATAAATACATAAATTCTGATAGTCAGAGTATTTTAATTAAAAAAAGTGATTTATTGAAGCCTTAACCACCAGTGCCTTATTAGTAACACGTAAGTATCGCCTGTATACTTGTTGTGTTGTCTAATATTCATAGCTTTGTTGTTCGTCTTTGTGTAACAAATAATACACTTTCGGCTCTAAATATACTCTGTAGATTTAGGCGCCTTTGTTTTTGTTGCCAAATAATCAACAGAGTCATTTTAAAGAGAAAAACTCTTTTGTATGTATGTTTGTTTTAACTTAACACTATTAAAATTAACACATACGTTAACACCATAAAAAACACCACTCTCACTTTGCTGCATCATTTTGTTACATTTGTTTTGCTTACATTCGTGAACAACAAATATAACAAGCTTTTATCATCTGTTTTATTGTTATGTGTGATCGATCTGTCATCTACCATTGTTCGATTATAGATCAGCTGGTGTGGTGAAAAAGAGTTGTGTAGTTAGTGTGGCGAGTAACGTGACGTACAAAGAAAAGTACATACATTGAATACCACAATAATAATAAACAAACAATTGAAATATTTCTCTCAAGGTTTAGAAAATAAACGTTTATTGAGAAATGAAGAATATACACAACAAACACATTTGTATTTTGTATAACTTTATTTTGTATAACTTCATTTATTTCTAAATTTATAAATAAATTGATAGTTGAAGTGTTTGTATATTCAAGAATAATACAACTCATAAATAATAAAAATAATTTTAAAAACATCAATTAATATCATA